CAGGGTACTGCAGAGCCATAAAAGTAAATACTCTACAAGCACCTGCCTGGCAAGCACAAGGCTGTGAGTTCAATCCCTAGAACAACAACAACAACAAAAAGTAAATACTCTAAGTCTTATGGTAAACTTAGTAATTATATGATTCGTATAGTACAACTTTATTCTTTAAAAAGTTATATAAATGGAATTGCAGAGTATGTAACCTTTGAAAATTGATTTTTTTGACTCAACATAACCTTCTTGAGGTTCACTAATATGGTTATGTATATCAACAAATGTTCCTTTTTACTGTGGAGTAGTAATCCACTTGTATGGATGTACCACAGTCCAAGTGTTTCCTTACCAAAGGACATCTGGGCTGTTTACAGTATTGGGCTGTTATAAATGTGTGATTATTATTTCTTGTTTCCCTGGAGAAAATGCCCAAGAGTACAATTTTTGGGTTGTAGGATAACTGCATGGTTAGTTTTATTTTTGAAAAGCTATTTTCTAGAGTAGTTGTACTATTTTACCTTCCCACCAAAGCGTATGAAAGTTCAATTTCTTCCACATCTTGGTGGGAAAGCATCTAGTCTCTTAGTTTTAAATATGATTAGAGCTGTGGGTTTCTTGTAATGTTCCTTGTCAAGTGGACAGTTTAACTTTCTCTTTTATTCCAACTTCGTGCTTTTTTTGTTTGTCATAGATGGATGTTGGATTTTGTCAAATGTTTTTTTCTTCCTTTATTTATAGGATTATATGGTTTTCCTTCTTTAACATGTCAATGTAAGAGATGGCATTAATTTTTCAGTGTTAATAGTATCAGTAGTACTAAATCCTTGCTTATGTTGTATAACTATTTTCATGCATTGTTTGTTTCATTTTGCGAGGTTTTTACTTTTTAGCATTTCTACATCTGCATTCAGGAGGGGTGTTTCTCTACGGCTTCCCTTTTTGTAATATGTTTCCTACCTTTAATATGAGGATAGTGCAGGCTTTTTGGAATGAGTTGAGAAGAATTCACTCTGCTTCTATTGACTGGAATGGATTTTGGAAAGTTGATATCATGGTTGCTAGAATTCTATGAATGTGAGATTTTCCTCTATTTTGAAAGTTTATTAATTATTAAAGGAGTGGGAAGCAGGGGAAGGGAGGGGATAGTAAAAAAAATTACACTGCACATGTACAAAATCCCTGTGACGAAGTAATCATAATGTACTGCAAACATGTACTAATAAAAATTAAAAAATTTAAAAAGTGTTGATTGGTTCAACTTACTAGACATAGCCTGTATTAACTTTCCATAGATGCGATACTAAAGTCCCAGAAATTATTGTTTAAAGCGACAGAAATTTATAGCCTCACATTTCTGGAGGCTGGAGGTGCAAAGCCAACATGTTGACAGGGATGTATACGTGTGAAACCTGAGCATTATTCATGTCTAGTAATTTACAGGCACTCTCTGACATTCCTTGGCTTGTGGAACATTCACTCCAGTCTTCCAACTTTACATGTGTTTGGTCTGTGAACTTTCACTCAACTCCCCTCTCTATATGTCTGCCGCCTCAGTGACTTCCTGTTAATTCAGATGTATCTGTAAAGGCCATATTTCCAGATAAGGTTAGATTTTGAGGTACTAATGGTTAAATCTTTAGTGTAACTTATTTGGGAGATACAATTCAACCCATTACATAAATCTAATCAGATGATCTATTTCTCCATAAGTAAAATTGGTAGCTTGTGTCCTTCAAATGACATCGAGCCATTTCTTATAGAATTTCAAACTTTTGGTCATAGAATTCATAGTATTCCTTTATTATCTGAGTGAGATCAGTGGTAATGGTCTCTTTCATTTCCAATTTTAACAGTTGGTCTCTTTTCTCTCTTTTTCATGGTTATCCTGGCTAAAAGTTCATCAATTTTATTGATCTTTTCAAAGAGCTAGCTTTCCTTTCACTGATTTTTCCTTTATCAATTTTCTGTTTTCTAACTTTCTGATTTATGCTATAATTATTATTCATTTTATTTTTCTTACTTTGGATTTAATTTGTGCTTTTTTTCTACTTTTCTAAAGAGGAAGCTTAGATTGTTAATTTTAGATTTTTCTTGTTTTAAACATGCATGTAATGTTACAACTTCCCTCTAAAGACCTTTAAAATGCTTTTACTGTATACTACAAATTTTTAAATGCTCTATTTCACATAAATTTTCATTTAGTTAAAATATTTTGTCTTCTGAGGCTTCTTCTTTGCTTATACTTTATTTAGAAGTGTGTTGTTAAATCTCCACTTTTGAATTTTCCAGCAATCTTTCTGTTATAAATTATTATATTACATTACTATTGAGGACATACTTTACATGATTTCTATTCTTCTAAATGAATTAAGATATATTTCATGGGCTAAAATGTGGTCTAGCTTAATGAAATGTGTATATGTACCTGTACAGACTGTGTATTCTGCAAGTTTTAGATGACATATTCTATAAATTTCCATTAGATCCAGTTGGTTGATGGTACTGTTCGATTTAAATATACGCTTACTGATTTTCTGCTAGCTGGACTTCACTTACTGATTGGGGGCAATGAAGTCTTCAGGAGTAATAATGAATTTGTCTCTATGTCCTTGGAGTTCTATCACTTTCTGCATCATACAGATATTTTGATTCTTAGTTGTTAGTTGCATTCACATTAAGTTAGGTTTTCTTAGAGATGGTGCCTTTATCACTGTTCTATGCCCTTCATCTGTGATAACTTTCCTTGCTTTGAAATTAACATAGCTACTCTAAATTTTTCTAATTAGTGTTAGCATGGAGTATTTCTATCACTCTACTTATAATCTGTTTATCATTTTACATTTAAATGGGAAAACAGTGTGTGGTTGCTTTTGTTTTGTTTTTGTGCACTTGAACAGTCTCTGTCTTTTAATTGATGTATTAGACCATTTACATTGATGCTTGTATTAATATTTACATTTGTATAACTCTTTTTTGTTGTCGAGTTAGTCAACTTTTGTTGCCATAGCAAAATACATGAGACTGGGTTCTTACATGGAATAGAGGTTAATTTAGGTCACAGTCTGGATGTTAAGTGGCATGGTGCTGGTATGGGCTCAGCTCTAATAATGGCCATCTTAGCTCCATCACATCATTGTAGATGGCACTGTGATAAGAGTGCGTGGGGAACATGAGACTATATCCCCAAACAGGAAACTAGGAAGTGAGGGAAATGGAGATAGGGATAGGGATAGGAAAAGAGCAAGATAATCAGGGATCAGATTTGCTCTTGTAACAACTCAGTCCTATGAGAACTACCCTAATTCCTTCTATGAGCACCGTCACCAGTGACCCATGCACCTCCCACTAGGTCTCTCTTCTTAACCTCCCACATCACCTCTCACACTGTCACACTCAGAGCCAAGCATGTGAAGCCTTGGGACATAAACCATATTCAAACCGGTTGTGCTTGTGTTTTCCTTTTCTGAATTTTTCCCTCTTTTCTGGTTTTAATCGGGCATCTATTGTAATTCAACTTTATCTCTTCTCCCAACATAAAGTTTAAGTGATTTCCATTGAATATGAAATGTATGTTATAAATAATGCATTTCTGCTTTCAAATAACATTATTCCTCTTCACTGATAGATAATTCTGGTATTTTATAATGGTACTTCCAGTCCTCTGACCTATACCTTAACACTCTCGTTACTTTACATACCTACCTGCTATAATCACTTTGTGTATCATTATAATGCATTTTTTGCTTTTGAATCTATGCAATACACTGCTGAATAATTTGTAAAGTAATATATTGAGAAAAGAATATGAAATTTTTCTGAATATCTTTTACCTCCTACTGACAAGCTTTCAACGTGATTTTAAGAGATTCTACATATTAATTTCTTGATAATCTCTCAGAATCACTTTCTTCTATTTCTTCCTCCTTTGCAGTGGGTTAAGGGATGAGTATAGGGGTCTAAAAGAATGAGTTGTAATTGTAATACAAGGTAGGAGGTGGGATGAGTTCCATGTCTTAATTCAGAGCCCAGTGATAACCACCTGTTTAGAAAACTACACCAAGTGTCTGTGCACATTTGAAAATCTGAATTGATCCAGTTCCATGGTCCTCATGCTCTCACTCTGTGATGGCTGCAACTTGTACTCCCTCACCCAGCTCTCTGTATGATGCACACACCTATTCTATAGTCGTCTTGCATTTCCTGTAATATGCACCCCGCTCCCACGCCCAGCAGCACGTCTTGTCCTAACACATGGTTCTATAGAACTCAGGCCATGTCTGGGTCTGACATTTAGACCTGGCCAGTGCTAAAGAGTTGGTGCTGGATGTCTGCAAGACTGAGAGTCAGGAGTAACCTGGGGCACCTTAATTCTTGAGCATAACATTCACCTCAGGTGTGAAGACTCATTGGTGTTGTATTTTTAGCACGCAGGTAAGTAGCTAGACTGAGAAATGTAAGAAAAGCACGTATCTCCAAAGAACCTATTGAGTTTTAACAGGGAATACTGTATCATCATCTTCCAGATGTTTAACTTGGAGTGAGTGTGATGAGACACACCAGTGTTTCTGCATGATATTAAACTTTTCCAATGAGCGTTTATCATCTCAAACAGCTTCTTCTTTGGAGCATAAATTATTGTGGCTTTTGTTTTGATGGCAATTGTTTTTTACATGTTATTTTCATGGCAAGTATGTAATATCATGTGCAAAGAAGATAAGGATTCATTTTCTAATGAGGGGAAAATAGATGAGAATCATTAAAACATAGATATTTAAATGATGGGGAACAGAACCTTTGTTGCAGGGATACCTAACTTCTAAAGTGTATTCACACACACACATACACATGCATATGTACACGTGCCTGTGTGTGTGTGTGCGTGCACACACACACACACACAACACACACACACACACATACAAACACACAACCTGGGAGTGCAGGGAATGATCTGGAGCAATTCTGGGGAAAAAGTAGATGTCATCTTTCTCATACTTGTCTTTCAGATGGAACCCCACTAAGCTGGTGGGTTGGAAGAACCAATGAAACACACTCTTACTGGGGAGGCTCTCTGCCTGGTGCTCACAAGTGTACTTGTGGATTAGAGGGGAACTGCACTGATTCTCAATATCACTGCAACTGTGATGCTGACCGGAATGAATGGTGATTTCCCTGAGCAAAAATGTGGTTTTGATTCCTGAATCATGCATAGCTAATTAAATATCAGATAAGCTGGTATCAAAAAGTAAAATATGATCAAGCAAATTAGAAATGTGAGTTTGGATAAATTATGTTCAACTAATCTAAGGACTGAATTTCATCACCAAAGATTTACCATTTTACTGTGAGTACCATATAATATGCTTTTTATTTTTCTTAAATTGGGAACTTGGTAAGTTTCCCACTCCAGTACCAGTCTCTGAAGTTTTGTTTAAATTTACCATTCTAATACTTACTCAGTACAGTGTACTCCTAGCGGTAATTCTAAAAGTAATTGCCTTCAAATCTTTGTCTTAAGTTGATTTGGGATATCATACCACATATTCTACCATTGTTTAAAAATTCACTGATAAACATCAGCACCTGGGAACTCTGAGACAGCCTGCTAAAAGGGCGGTGTCTATTCTGTGTAATCCATGTTCACTGAAGTCTTATTTTATAACAGTTTATTGTAGACTTCCTGTTGCCTTGGGGAATGTCACTGGAAGCAAGGTCTGTACCAAGTGGCCTTCCACTTGCTGAGGAAGGAGACAGGGAAGCTGAGGGGTCCAGGTGTCCTGACCCCCACCCTTTTTTTATCAGTACCAGGGATCAAACTCATGACCATGCGCTTTAAGGCAGGTGCTTATGCCACTGAGCTAAATCCCCAGCCCCAATGACCCCCTTTTCTGTGTGTGCTCCTTTCACTAGCGTAGTGTGCTGTCCTTGTGTGACACATACCTGTACTATTTTTGGCAGAAAGCTTAGAAGAGAGCATTGTAGTCACATCTTAATTTCAGATAGAAGATTGTGGAATTACTGGGTTTTTAAATGCATTTACTTTGAGGCTTCCAGGAGACAGATTTTAGCCATTACTAAAAAGACAACTACTTCAACATTTGTTTCAGCTCTTGCTGAATATTTTTTAAGTGAGGATGTGCATAAAAGAGGTGGTAGAGAATTATAATTTCTCTTATTTTTTTCAAATGAAATTAATTTTGATCGGTTTGTGGAAAAAGATGGAATTTACCAATGTCACATATTTTCAAATGGTATAAAATGCAAAATCTATAATTATATAGTATTGATTTAGATATAAAAGTAAAACAATTAGTGAAGCTGATACTATTTTAATTCTATTGTAAGCATGGTCGTGCATCCATCTACTTACACAATATATGCAATTCTCAAACATGCATAGAGTGCTTTGCAGGTAAGAGAAATCTTACAAGTTTTAAAAGATTATCATGATGGAGACCATGAAATTAAGTATAATCTAAGCTATAAATCAGCAACAAGTATTAATTTTTATAAGCTCATAATGTTCTAATTAAAGACAAAAACTGAAATGAGATAAGTGATCGAAAGTTATGAAAAGAATAAATGAAGTAGAAAGATGTTGGCTGTCAATAGTGTAACTGCCTGACAGAGAAAATTGAAGATAATATAAAAAATACTGTCAAGATAATGAGAGTTCACTAACTTTCCTGAATTGAAATTGATAATCAAATGATTGAGAAATAACTTGAATTTCTATAAAATTATAAAATAATTATTACTATAAAACCTATTTTGAATATTTTCCATACAAAATTCTAGAGGATAGGTGTAACGCTTTTAATGGTATTTTTTGTTTTGTTTTGTTGTCTGTTTTTGGTTTTTGAAACAGAATCTTGCTGTGTAGTTCAGATTGAACTTGAACTATGTAGTCCAGGCTGACCTTGAACTTGTAGCAGTCCTCCTGCCTCAGCCTCCTGAGCGCTGGGGTTACAGGTGTGCACTACCACACCTGGTCATATTAGCTAAACTGCCTTTATGAAAATTATAAAACTTTAAAAGTTGGACCAACCAAGTCAGTAAACTAATTCATTTTTGTCACGGCTAATGTGACTTGATATCTTAAAGCAGCATATTTCAGGCCAGTGTACTTTTGGCTCAGAGGGCATATTTGAAATTATTTGAAGATAATTTTTTCCCAAAGGGTAGGAATTGTTTCTATTGGTATCTTATAAGTTAGAATTCCTGCTAACCACCCTGCAACATACAAGACAGACCAGTAACACAAAACTATACATCCCAAAATATTTACACAATACTGCTATGGGAAGCCTATACTAAAATGCTATTCTCCTCAAATTAATCTATAAATTTAATAAAATTTTCAGCAAATTCCAAGTGCTTTATTTGTTGGTGCGGATTGTAACAAAGTAGTTTTAAATTTTACATGGGAACTTGGGGTGAAAGAATAGACAAGGTGATTTTTGAGATAAAAAACAGAAAGAGACCAAGTCCTGTGAAATATCAAGACTGATTATACTGCCGTGGTAACTAATGCAGGTTAAATTAGCCAAGAGATGAGTAGTCAGACCAATTAAACTGAAATTAAAGCTTGAATTTTTCAAGTGAATCACAATGATTATATAATTACTGACCTATTACCCAAAACAATTATGACATTCAAACCATATTTCCCCTTTTCTCTTTAACAGTCCCCCCAAATTAACAGCTCCACTGTGCACCAAACCAAGTCCCTTGGTATATAAATAATTAACAGTAGATTTTAGAAGTTTTTATAGCATGTGTGAAAGTATAATTTCATAACAATAGAAACTTTTAAGCAAAGATATTTGGAAGTTCTTTACAGTATTTTTAAGACTATTTCACGAGATTATTGTGCCTAGATATTAACTGTTTACAAGTTTAGACTATCTAGGTTGAATATTACTTGTTAAAATCGCTTAGCACCAGAAGAGTTTCAAACTTTGGAATTTGGGATTTTGGAATATTTGTACACACCTATAGAGACGTCTCAGAGATGGGACCCAAGTCTACGTTGCCTGAAGATAATTTTATACAACATTTTTAGTGCAGTTAACCATCACAAGAAGTTAATAGCACTATTTCCACTTGTGGCATAGTCTCAGCACGTAAGAAGTTTCAGATTGTGTACCACTTCCTATTTTGAAGTTTTAAATTAAGGATGCTTTTTAAAAAAACTTCAGAAAATAATAGGGGGGAAAAAAAAAGAAAAAGAAAAGATCCCTATTGGTTAAGATGTCTTTAGAAGTCTGGTAACTGTGGCAAATCTTCAATGTTCAGCGTTCTATAGAAATCTGCAGACTTGGGATCTGCCTATACCAGTAAGAAAGTGGTGTAAAACCTTTGCGTTCTTACTCTCAGATTGGGAGCCTTCCTACAGAGATAGTGACATCGATATTGATAGAGATAGTGGTAGCCTCTAGCCACAGGGGTAGTGATAGCAATAGAGAAAGATAAAGACACAGTCATAGTGATAGGGATAGAGACAGAGATACAGAAAGTGATAGACTGACTTAGTATCTACTCTAATGCCACTGAGATGTACTACAGTGCTGTATTGCCGTGTTCCTTACACAACTGCAGCATTTTAAATATAACATTAATAATGAAAATTGCAGCTTGTAGGTAAAATGGATCTTTAAAGTTCAAAGATCCTTCATGAATAATTAATGGAATTGCTTTTGCCTGCTAGACTAAAATAGTGATCACAGACATAGAAATACTTGTTTCTAATGGCTTCCATATTGAGTTTCTTGCACTGACCTACACCAAGTTTCTCAGAAGACGTATTTCTGACTTACACACCCTCAGTCCACTCCAGAGCTAAATGGTGCTGACTTTTGATAATCCATACCCTCTCGTTACACAAGCATAAGTAACTAGGCAAGGCATGGGGATTTTAGGCTGAAGTTTAGAAATACATTTTTTTACCACTAATTGTTTTACATATTCCAGAGTATTTAAGACACATTAATTTATCTGTCTTATATACATTACAGTTTACTTCCTTTTTATAACATAGAAATATTAAATAATGTAACCATTTTATTTGAATTCTAGCTTTTCAAGTTTCAATTTTTGATTCCTAAAGTCTCATAAAAATTCAGAAAACATCATTTTTACAAATACAAAAAAGGTTGCAGTAACTAAGTATTAGTCATTCTCATCTCCTGCCACAGTGATGCAAAGGGGAGTGTAGACACTGAACAGTTTAAACAAATAAAACAACACATATTAAATTCATTAAAAATTTGATGTGAGGGGGAGGAAGTAGACGGAGTGATTTTCTACAAATCAGCATATGTATGCAGCCAATTCATACATAATAGCATATAAGAAAATCATGATAGAGTAGACAAACATCTGTATTTTGGCCTGAGAGGAAATTAGTAGCTCTGCTGGGATCAGGATCTCACGGCACCCCAGGATTTTCAGACAGCTTTGTGTAGGACCCAGAGACACACATTGTTCTTCCTGGTCATTTACTCATGGATGGTAATGACGAGCACTGCATGAAGATGAAAACAATTAAAATTCCCACTGCCCAATACGCCATGCGCTTGTCAGGGCCAGGGGCTGTGCTTTTTCCTCAGTGTCTCCCATGCCTGGCACAGTGCCTGGTCGCTAGTGTGTTTGTCCACTAGATAACCAGGTTCAGCCTTTCACAGAACACTTTCACACACATTCATCTGGGTATCACGTAAAATTATTTTATTTATTTTGTTTTTGATGTGTGGGTTTTATAATTCACAAATTGTCAAGAAAAGAAATAGCCAATAACCATAAAAAGACTAAGAAATTAGTGATATAATTGTGTGAAATGAATATCTAAATATAGAATTATTATTTATATTTTTAACTAATAATCATTTAAATAATGTCCTGGGGCTCATTTTGGAAGAGCAAATAAATGTGTCATCATCTTTAAAATAGTGTCCTCTGCCTGTAAAATGACCACCCTTCTTGAGTTTGCCCCTATGCTCTCTGTGTTCAGTGAGACTGGGGACTGATAAATGAATTAGGAGTTGCTAAACCATTGCAAGGGTGTCCAGTCCAACCACTAGCCTGCTTTTGTATGGCCCATGAGCTAAGAATTCTTTGAGCTGCATAGTTGCTGAAAAGCCGCCTTGACTATATGGCCCCTTATGGAAAAACCTTGCTGATCCTTGATTTAGATTTTTAATAATCGCTGTGACTTTAACATACCAAAAATATTTGTATGTTTTCTCTGAGTCCTGTGATATTAGTTTCAAATTTCAGTAAGAGATCATAGTTAACTATACTGAAATGTTAATCAGAACAGTTTTAAGGGTTAGGTTGTTGTTTTTCAGGAACAGTGATACCACAGTCCTGGCCCATAAGGAGCACCTGCCAGTCCCTGGGCTTGTGATGCCGGGCACAAGCCGACCTCATTCTGCAGCTGCTCATGTACTGGGGCCTCTCCTCTGCCAGGGGGACAGTAAGTAGTGACAAGAACACACTTTCTTTGTATAGTAGCATGCTTTATTAGAAAATCATTATCTTAGCTTTATGTCGCTGTGACCAACTATCTGAGGTTAACAGCCTCAGAGAAAGAAATGCTTATTTTTGGCTCACATTTTCAGGGGCTTCAGTCCATGGTAGGTGGGCTCCATATTTTAGACCCATGGCAAGACTGAACATCCTGATGGGGAGTGCATGGTGGAGCAAAGCCACTCACCTTTTGAGAGCTGGGAAGCAAGGAGAGAGAGAAGAGGGGTAGGGATCCTATTATCTTCTCCAAGAATATGTCCCCAGTGAGCCCCTTTCCTCCACTAGGCTCTACTGCCTAAAGACTCTACCATCTCCAGTAGCACCAAAACCTCTGGGAAACATTTAAGTTTCAAACTATAACAAGCATATATGGAAAATCATTATTTGTGCTAACGATCAATATTTTGTTAGTGAAGTACAGTTTACATGTCTCTTATGCAAAATGTTCGGGACCAGGAGATTTTGAAAAATTTCGGATTTTAGAATAGTTGCATATACATGTTGGAATATCTTGGAGGTAGGATCCAAATCGAAGCATCAAGCTCATTCATTATTCTTATACCATTATTTTGATGCATATCACACATATGGCCTGCAGATAATTTTATATATAATTTTTCACGTGCCTGTATTTTGATTGTAACCTATCATATGGGGTCAGGTGCTTGTCAAAAGGATTTGGGAAGGTCCCCAGTGACCACATTTGTGATAGCAGAAGCATTACAACATGTCACAGTGATAGATTATAAACCATTAAATATAAAAAGTATCCAAGAGTGATACTTATATAAACTTTTAAATAAATAAGTAAAAGAATTGACAATCAAGGGAAAAGTTCTTCCTAACAGAGTGATGCCAACCATTTAAGGTAGAGGAATAGTGTATCATAGGAAATAATCATTAACAACCATCATATTAATAACTCGGGAAGCATCAGTAAGTTCTAAAACCAGTGGATGAAAAGGTGGGTTGGGTTATGTTAAGTACTTTAGGTATCAAAATATTTATAAATTACCAAGAAAAAAATAGTAACTTCCTGTGGGAGAAAAGACAGATACCGTTTTACAAGACAAGCTAACATGATGGAGCATGAAGTGGTAACACATGCCTGTGATCCCACATGATGGACAGCAAGTTTGTGCTCAACCTGAGTGCCAGGGACTTGCCAGGACCCTGTCCCAAAATCTATAGGAAAACTAAATAAGGAAAAGGGCTGGGGATACAGTTCAGTATGAAGGCCCTGGGTTCAACCCCTAGGAGTTCGTACTATGAAAAAATAATCAAGACAGTAAACAGAGAAGACTAACCACTGATCCTGATGTGATGCACTAGGAGGAGAAGCCCCACTTCTCTGGTATCTTTGGCAAAAATGTGGAATGTTAATGTAATGATGAATATCAGTCAAACAAAAGTTGAGGATGTTTCCATAAATCAATGGAAAAATATTATCAGAAAAAAAGGGGAAAAAAAGCTAAAAGAAAAAGTCATAGCCTTGAAAGACATGAAAGTTCTAGAATGAAGTACACTACATAGACCTGAAAAATAAATGTGACATGATTAGATTCTGGAGCAAGTGGCAAGCAAAAGTTTTTGATGTGCCATGAAGGGCATTTTAGGATAGCGTTTGTGCATTTGTTTCTTAGTTCTCAAGCAGACAAACATCAGGAGTCTATGACCTGCTGCCAGACTCCCGCATCCACCTGCTGTCCTCAAATCTCCACTTGGATGTCCAACAGCTATTTCTTTCTTTTTAACTTTCAAATAATATATTGTTATCTGCTGAATAAAAGACCATTATACAAAAGCAAGGCAAGAATTTCTTAAGGACTAATAAACCAATTGTTGAGAGTAATAAAATAAAAGGAAAATTTAAATTATACTTTCTATATTTCCTCTTCTATGAGGATGTGTTATCATGAAAAAATGTGACAATCCAAATTTTGGATTATTACTTCATTGTATTTTTAATAATATTGTGTTCTAGTACATTTACTTGATGAATATTTTTTCAGTTGTGAAAAATGTTGTCTATGAGACATTTTGTAGATTTAAATTTGCAGGTTAAAACTTTTAAATTGAACAATAGATATAAAAATGGTAAGCTACTATAGGAGTTTTTTATGTGTTAAGGTTTTTTTTTATTTGTTTGTTTTGGTTTTTTGATGCCAGGGATTGCACTCAAGACCTCGCACTTGCCAGGCAGGCACTTGTGCTACTGAGCTAAAACCGTGGCCCTGTGTTAACTAATTTAAACCTATAAAGATTCTATGGGGTAGGACAGCTGTCATCCCCACTTTATAGACGTAGACTGTAAGAATAAGAACACAAAGTCATATAAATTAATGATGGGACTATCACTGTCCCATGCAGTCTGACTCCACAGCTTTTGATCCTCACCTTTTGCATTCAAATGGCGTGTGGAAAAACTTCAGCACGTGCTCTGCTGTTGAGCTACACCATCTCAGCCCAAGATTACAAATATTTTCAAAGGGCCCCCAGTGTTATGTTAACTCTTTGGTATGGTTTGTATTTGGATGCCTCATGCAGTCATGGAGGTGGCTGAGCTTTGTGATTGGTTCGTTATCTAGCACTGGGATTGTCTGTGTGAGCCCTGCACTCACCCAGAGGTGGGTCACCAGCATACAGCATAAGGGAGGGAAGGCAGCGTGCTGACCCCTCAGATACTTTAACATAACCTGGCCTGTCAAAACTTGCATCTTTAAAATGATTCCATCAGAATGGGCCCAAACCTTAGGTGTCAATTCAGACTCCACTCTTTCTCTGCCATCCCACACCCCACAACTCCTTCATCAGAATATTCTCTGGCTCTACTTTGAGAAGGACTCTGGATCCTCACCACCTGTCTCACCACCTCCACTGGCACCACCCCAGTCCAAGCCACTATCAATCATCCCTCTCCCTCAGTGTTGATGTGATATCTAGACCCACGCTGGCTTTGTTTCTGTCTGTTCAGGGCATGGGCTTCGTTTTTTTTTTTTTTTTTAATTTATTAGTATATGTTTGCAGTTCCTTCATCTTGGGAAGTGATGCCATGCACATGCCAGAGTTTGTGTCTTTTTAAATCCACTTCCTCTTTCCCTTCCTTCCCTCCCTCCTCTAATTCCTCTTGCTCATTTTTCATTCTTATTGACGTTATTAATCTTAGCTCATGTTATGGCATACAATGTTTACAGAAATGGAGGTTGTTAGTTTGCTGTACGTAGCATAGCTTTATTCTGCTTATTTCTCCTTCCCCTCTTCCTCACCTCTCCCACTTTTTCCCTGGACCACTTCTCTACTGCAAGAGATGCATCTCTTAGTCCCCTTCCATCCACCCTTCATTATTCTCTTTGTTTGTACTTTGGCTCTAATGAGAGATACCATGCGGTATCTAAGCTTGTGTGCCTGGTTTATTTCACTCAACATTATATTTTTCAAGTGCGTGCACTTTCCTACAAATGTCTCCAATCTGTCATTCTCTAGAGCAGACTGGTATTCCATTATATATAATACCACATTCTTTATCCAATCATCTGTTGATGGGTATACAGGCTACTGTAGGATTTAGCTATTATAAGTTGTCCAGGGCAGACTTCTAATCCTCCAAATAATCACCACTCGAATGTTGATGTTATGACTACGTGGCATGAATGTTCAGAATGCCAAGCAAGGACATACGTAATTATTGTGTCTAGTGTAAAATGATCCCTATTTTATTCTTTTCCTTTTTAAAAACAGAGTCATTCTGGAATTCAGCTTCCTTCAACACTGAGACGTCGTACCTGCATTTCCCTACCTTCCACGGAGAACTCACTGCAGATGTGAGCTTCTTTTTTAAGACCACGGTCTCCTCGGGTGTGTTTATGGAGAACCTGGGGATCACAGACTTCATCAGGATAGAGCTGCATGGTAAGTTGAGCACGTGGGAGAAGTTGCAGGAGGCCCAGTATTTATTTAGCAGAGAAAACATTACAGTATTGTTATTCTTAAATCATATTTCCTTATCCAGCACTAAAATTCCATGATGTTACTCATTTATTTCTAATAAAGTCAAGCAATGGGGTATGCATCCCACAATAACCCATAAAAATGTTACGTCTTCTCTTTAACTATAACTGAGTAGAAACAGAACTATAAGCCAAACTCATGGATTGTCTACTAATAACAAAGTATTTGACCAATTGGCTTTTCTCACGTACCCAAAATTTGTTAATATTAAAACGGTGCTTATAGAATTAGATGAAGCTTTGAGCCATTTTAAATAAAAGTACTTACATGTAAAACGAACTATATTTGTTCTGTTCTAGTTATGGGTACATATTTTATTACTGTCAAAATTTACATTTAGTGTATTTAGAATTAGATGAGGCTTTGAAACATTTTTGAAGAAAAATACATATAATTCGATTCATTTCTATTCTTTTATGGGTGAATATGTTTACTATTTAGGTCTGAGGAAGATGGACTTAGCAAGATTGAGTAGTAAAGTCTGGAATAAGTATGTGAAAATCAGTTTTGTTTTCTTCTCCAAAATACGAGTTTATTTTTACTTCCCTTTCCCGGCCGAGCCACGTTCTTCTGCACAGTGGGACGCCACGGTGTTTTCCTGTGTCTGCTTCCTCCGCTGGGACTTTCTCCTCTGCGATTTTACTGTGCTGTCCCTCTGTGCTATTCGCAGCTCCCTCGGAAGTGACCCTGTCCTTTGACGTGGGGAACGGCCCTTGCGAGGTCTCCGTGCAGTCAGCCACGCCCTTCAGCGACGGTCGGTGGCACCGCGTGCGGGCAGAGCGCAACGTGAAGGGGGCCTCCCTGCAGGTGGACCAGCTGCGCCCGCAGGTGCGCGCCGCCCCCGCCGACGGCCGCCTCCGCCTGCAGCTCAACAGCCAGCTCTTCGTGGGTGAGTGCCCGGTTCCCGCGACTGCAGCGTGACTGCAGAGGTGGGCAGGGAAGGCCCCGTGAAAACTCGCTGCTTTGGTAACACTTGAAGACAGCGACTCCTGCTGTCTGTAACCTAGGAATTCCACCAGGAGACCCAGGCCTGAACACAGGTGGCCGGTGTTTGTCTACCACATGCCGTGGACACTGTCGATGTAATTAGCACCAGTGCCCCGTTCCTACAGTTTCACCGCTCAGTGCAGTCAGGGAACTGGTCTTCTGAAATAGTGTCTGATCAAAAACCGAGCATAGCAGACCTGGCCAGCAGAAGAGGTGTCCCTGCCACGCTTCCAGGACCTGTTCCTGGGCGCCTTGGTCCGGTCTTCCCTTCTCCTGCTCTCTCATCACGGCTTCCTGGTGATAATCGGGTCTTACATCTTTACTCTTGCTGTCTGTTTGTCTGAGGTTTACAGCCCTAGGTAATGGAAGGTTCCTTTACTTGGCTCATTGACTGTTTTATCACTGTTGCTTGTTTTTCCCCAGGGGAAAGATATATTTTGCTAGATTCCTTCTAAACCACTCCATTGTAACTTAGAAACAAACAGATTAAGGCAATGACTTTCATTTGTTTATGCATTTTAAAGCAAATAGGTGCACATTCCAATTAGAAACTGGACTAAATATCACATAGCCTGCTTTACAGAAGGATTTATGTACAACTTCAGATACTAAATATGACACAATGAATTCCAATGTGTGTAGTGTGTGTGTGTGTGTGTGTGCACTCGTGCCTAGGGTGGAATGTATAGCATAATTCCATAAAACAAACTTTGAAGCATGGTTAGTTCACATGGTAGAGTAAGAGAAAATTTCCTTAGGGAATTTGAAACTGTAAAACCAAGTAACAGGAGGAGCCCATGTATGTTATATGAACCAGCTTTCTGCTACTATAACAAATGCCTGAGTTAATTATAGCCCGCAGACAGACCCATTGCCTCAGGCCCCTACTAGAGACAAGAGACACACATCATGACCGAAGCAAGAGGCAGAGCAAACAGTTGATCTTGTGGCCAATAAGTGAGGCAGGAGGGAACCAGAGTCTCTCTGCTTTGAGAGTGGACCTCCCAATAAACACCACGTCTTAAACCTCTCCGGCATCTCTGGAGAGGTTCCCACTGGAACCAAGACTTTAATACCTGAACCTTTATGGAACATTCTAGATCCAAACTTCAGCATGAGTTAATTTAAGGAACATTATTTTCTCACTTATACCCTCAGCACTATTTAATGGAAAGCCCAGGGACAAAATTAGCGTTAAAATTCACCTACAATAAGCATTCATACTAAGGTAAAGTTTACCAAGCTGGTGGATGTGTGTGGGCAGGGGAGATTCATCATCCTCAGAATCATTCATGAAGCTAGTTATAAATTCACACTTGGAGCTCCCACTCTAAGTCACTGAATCAAAATTTCTGGAGGGTGGGGAGCACAAACATTTGCATTCTTCATAGTTTATTTCTATGCTCCTACCATAATAGCACCAACAGCCTTTGTGATATGGTTTATCCTAGCACACATGCTTACACCTCTCTAATAGTTTCTGGGAGTTTGACATAACAACCACACATGTGTGTATCATGTAGACGATGTGGCCCCAGAGAGGAGCGGGTGTTTGAGGTCACCTTGGAGGAGTTGGGATGGGTTCACCCCTTCCAGTTGCATTTTCTCTGCTTCCCAACCTCTTCTGCTCAGATAATTAATTCAAGCACAAGATTTCACTGGCTAAGTTTCCTTGTTGTTATAAACATTTTCAAAGTTCTTGCATGACCATTCTACTGTACAGCATTGTTCATGAACACAAGTAAAACAATGTTGATGATTTCTATTTAGTAACATTAAAGAAATATTTTAGAATGGATATTTGCCAATCTCAATATGTTTAAAAGTCGCTTGGCATTTTTTCCAGAGTCACTCAAGGTTTCAATATCTGATAAAAGTCTGTGTTTTCAAAATTTTGTATGTTCATGATATTTTTGAATAAGTTGCATTTAATTTTTGCTACTCTCCATAAGGCCTGAGTTGGAATGGACATGAAATCCTGAATAAAACACCAAGGAACCCACTTCTATTTGCAGTGTTTCCATTGTAGGGGGAACAGCCAGCAGGCAGAAAGGCTTTGTGGGCTGCATGAGAGCTCTGCAGCTGAACGGGATCTTCCTGGACCTGGAAGGCAGAGCCACCGTGACTCCGGGAGTGGAGCCGGGGTGTGCCGGACATTGCAGCAGCTATGGACACCTGTGTCACAATGGAGGAAGGTGTAGAGAGAGACACAGAGGGATCGCTTGTGACTGTGCCTTTTCTGCATATGATGGACCGTTCTGCTCACAAGGTAGGTGCAACCATGAGATGGATTCAGGGAAAGCACAGGATGCTTAGAGAACCAGAGGAACACTTTGGGCATTACAGAGTCAGAATAGGGTTGAGGTGAGATTATTGCTGGCACGAAGTCTTCTATTAAAGTTAGGAGAGATAGGTGGGCGTGGTGGCTCACACCTGTAATCCCAGCACTTGGAAGCTGAGATGGGAGGATCGATGCGACTTCGAGACCAGCCTGGGCTACAAAGTGAGCTCAAGGCCAGCCTAAACTGCATAGAGAGACCCTGTCTCAAAAAGACCAAAAAAAAAAAAAAATTTAGGAGAGATACAACTAAGTTTGAAAGACTAGGACTTTGCAATAGAATATAGATCCTTTCTGGGTTTCTTACTTGGGCAATCTCCATGTTCCTTCTAATTTTCCATTCAGAGCTAATATTCTCAGCATAATTTGATTACTCTGTCCTTGACCCGTTCTGTCTTTAAAATAATTAAAATATCATCACTATTTATGGCAAAGGTTGAAAGTGCTTAAATGAATTGATACTTTAAAAATGCATTTTCAAATAAAGCAAATACATTAACTAGTAAGAAAAATGTGTACTTACTTGAATATGACATATTGCTTAAAGCATCACTTGAATACTTTGCTGTGGGATGTTTGTCCATGTGTTTTTAGAGGACCACAGTAGGGCATCACACAGCTTCTGCTGAGGTACATGTTATATTCTGAATGGAAGGGACTGTTGAGTATGAAGTACATTATCCTGCCTTCCTGCCTATACTTACATTGGCAGTATTTTTATGGAACCAAAAAGCATCAGAGATATATCACATATATTATGTTTATCAGTACAATAGGTTTTAATTAATACAAAAGTTGTGTGACTTTTAAAGGAATTCTGAGCTATTAGTATTTCCCAAAGAGTGCCTTTGAAAGGTCTTCTCTTCTGCCAGTTTTCAATCCTAGTTCACAGGGGGTTCCCTTCCACCTACCCCTCATTAGCCAAGATCAGGGAGGCAGACTCTGTTGGGACCAGTTGTCTGTTTCTGCCGCTTTGGAGGCCCTCCCCTGACACCCTTCATCCTTGTGCCTTCTTTCCATTTCTTTATGGCCTTTGCTTTATGGGACCATAACTTATGAAAACTTGTTTGTCTAGCAGTTATCTCCGATCTGAACACCTTATCTTTGAATTTAGAGATTCTTCCTCCAGTGTGAGTCATTTTCTGGCCCAATTTCCTGTGGGTAAGCCATTGGCTTGCCAATAAGTTCTTCTAAAGAGGTAAAGGTAAAATGAAACATAGACCATCTCGCTTCTTCTTTACATCAACAGATCAGAGAAGAAATAGGAAAAATTAGAAACAGCTTGAGATAAATGAAAAAAATTCACAAATACCAAAATGTATTAAAAAACTAAGAGTTTGTAGAGAGGAAATTCATATATCTCTATCTATATATAGATATAGACATATATATATATATACATACATATAAATAGAAAATCTAAAATCACTAACTCAACCATCCAATTTAAGAGACTGAATGAAAAAGAGCAAACTAAGCCAAATGCAACTAGAAGGAAGAAAATGAATATTAAACAGAAATTTGAAAAATAGATAATATAAAAGCAGTAGAAAAATTTAACAAAACCAAAATTCTGTTCTTTGAAAATGTTAACAAAATAGCAAACCTAATAAAGATGACTAAGGGAAACTGAGCTTAAAATAGGCAAATTCCTAGAAATGCACAGCCTATCACAATTAACTCGCGCGCCTGTAGTACCAGCTACTCGGGAGGCTGAGGTGGGAGGATCGCTTGAGTCCAGGAGTTCTGGGCTGCAGTGCGCTATGCCGATCGGGTGTCCGCACTAAGTTCGGCATCAATATGGTGACCTCCCGGGAGCGGGGGACCACCAGGTTGCCTAAGGAGGGGTGAACCGGCCCAGGTCGGAAACGGAGCAGGTCAAAACTCCCGTGCTGATCACAATTAACTCAAAAAGACAGAGAAAAATTTGAACTGCCTTATAACAATGAAAAGATTATTATTTATTTTAAAACAATCAAAGTAAACCCTAATACAGAGAGTAATTATCTCAGAAAAGTGAAGTCAGCTTAATAGCACCAAACATTTAATATAGTACCAACAGAACAAGAACTATAAAACACAATCATCACAATTTTTATTCAGTGTTCTGTTAGAGATTTTAGCTAGGCCAGTTAGGCAAAAAGAAAGAAAATACAGTCAGATAAAAAAGAAAAAGTAAATATTTCTATTGCATAGGATATGGTTTTTTTTTTGTCTTTTTCCTTTTTATCGGTACCGGGGATCGAACTCACGACCGCCTGCTTGCAAGGCAGGTGCTTATGCCGCTGAGCTAAATCCCCAGCTCCCATGTAGTAATGCATTTAACCAAAAAAATGGAGCATCTACATGGGAAAGTATAAAACATTGAAAGAAAGTAATGATAAATAAATTGGAGAGATACCTCAAGTCAAGGATTAGGATAATTAACATAAATAAGATGTCTACATTTTCCAAATTGGTCTAACAGTTCAATAGCATTTCTGTCAAATACCTAGCTGGATTCTTTCTTGGATTGATAAACTGATTGTAAATTCTTATGGAAATTCAGAGTAGCCAGGATATAGTCAAAATAAACTTAAAAAACAATAAATTTGATGCATTCATACTTCCTTGATCTCAACACTAAAAAGCTACAATCATAAAAACTAGAGGATAACTGTAGACTTATAGATAAGCGAGATAGCATTGAGAACCCAGATATATACCCTCATATTTCTGGTCAGTGGATATTAAAAGAGAGCTAAGATTAGCCAGTTGGGGAAGAGTGGCCTCTGGGACAAGGAGGTGCCCACCAAACATGCAAAAGAATGAAATGTGTACCTCTATCTCATGAATACAAAAAACATACATTAAATACATTACAGACCTGTGAAAGAGCTAAAACTGTGAAACTTTTAAAATGGGAGAAATGAAGAATAAATAAATTGGACTTCATCAAAATTAAAAAATTCTGTGATTCAAACAGGTTAGCAAGATAACCACAAAATGGTAGAAAATGTTTGCAAATTATTCATCTTAGTCCAAAATCCCAGTTACATTAAAAAATTCTTATGACTTAATAAGACAAAACCCAATTAACTAATGAGAACTTGTAAATAGGTATTTTTCAGCAAATGCATACAGTGGCTATGTACACTTGAGAAGATGCTTAGCAACAGCAACCATCAGCAGAATGCAAATCAAAGTCCCAACGAGACAGGACTTCATACCCACTAGGCTAGTTATATGTTGACACATGGTAATTGTAAATATGTATGGAATATAGTACAACATTTCAATACACATATACAATGTATAATTGCCAGACCAGGCTAATTGGTATATCTTTCACTTCAGACATTTATCATTTTCTCTGTATTGGAAACATTCAAAATTTTCTCTACTAGCTATTTTGAAATATTTCATTAATTCTTATCACACATACTAAAGGATGGATATGTCGGGTCCTGACCTAGATCCCCAATCTCTCAAGCAAGTGTACAGCAAAGGCTTAAATAAATGAGACAAGTGGTATCATTTTAGGGCTCCAGGAGGATCAAAATCCTTTATCTGAGTTTGAAACTCTGGTGGCTAAGACAAAGATTTCTCTAGACTGCCCATGTTTATTAGGTCCAAAATGAAGAACAGGGAAACTGAGGAAAGCACAGACAATGAGTGGGATCTTGGGAGTCACTTCAAAGACTTCTCCAATAATAAATCATGTCAATTTGGGAGAATCATTTTATCTTCATGAAGACATGTTAGAATGAGACTGTAGGAGTAATTCCTGCAGCTACAGTCTCTATCTACTTAATTGATGTTTGGGCCAAGTGTCTTCAGCTGTGGCCTTATCTTGCCCTTTGAGGCATCTCTGGCCTCACAGGCCACTACAGGCCTCAGCCAGGACCAGTGATTCATAGAGGTTCACTTACTATGAATCAGCTCCCGTCACCAGGCAAGGAGCCTAGGTCAAGGACAGACTCACAGATAAACATAGAAAGCCAATTAGTAAAATTTAAATCCTATTCAGAGCTGCTTCACAGTGGTCTCCAACATAGATAAACTTTCAAAGGAAGATTCACATTTTGGTGAGGAAATAGAGGTATTAAAAGTCTCATAAGTTGTTTTTAGAAATGTAAAATGGTATGGCTATTTTAGAAAAAAGAAATAGTTCCTCAAAATATTAAAAATGGCATTATCATAAGACTGAGCAGAAATAAAATGTAATAGCCATGCAGCAGCTTCCCCATGAATATCCATGGCAACATTCCTCTTAATAGCCAAAAAAGTAGAAACAACCCAAATGTCCATCAACTGAGGAATGGATCAACAAACTGTGAAAATCCATCCAAAGACATATTTATCAGTGAAATAGGAATAAAGTAAATCTTACAACATGAATGAACCTCGGAAGTATGCTAAGTGAAAGAAGCCTGTCACTAAAGATCACATTATTGTATAATTCCGCTGATATGAAATGCCAGTACAGGAATACCTATAAAGACAGAAAATAGATAAGAGGCTGCTATGCTATGATATTGAGAAAAAAAAGAGTGGCTTCCAACTAGTTGTCAAAAATTTTTGGGGGGTTTTGAAGTGGAGAGGAAAGAGGAAAATGCTCTGAAGTTGATTATGGTAATGGTTGCATAAATCTGTGACTATATTGAAACAAAGTTTTATGCTTTACTTGGGACAATTTTGTAGTGTTTAAGTTGTATTTTACTCAAGATGTTTAAAAATTAACTTCCTGGAAAAACTTGCTGAGAGAAATTGCCTTTCAATTATACATTTATACTGGAAAAAAATTATATGTAAATTCAAGATGGAGGTAATTTGGAGAATTAAGTGAAATTTCCATTAAATGTTATTCATTATGTCAGGATTTGCTACTTTGCTCTTCAAACTTTGTTTTTTAAAAAAAGTTTAAATTTAAAAAGTGAAAAAATAGAAACAGGAGAACATTCCATCCTCTCCCAGGATATAAAGAACTAGATTCATTCTTTACTCTTAAACTTACAGTTTGTTAGCATAAGAAAAATGTTTCTTTCCAGAGATCTCTGCCTATTTTGAAACTGGCTCCTCAATGACCTATAATTTTCAAGAACATTACACCTTAAGCAAGAACACCAGCTCCCTGACGGCTTCTTCACTCCAAAAGGATATAACATTTTCCAGAGAAACCATCACGCTGAGCTTCCAGACGACAGGAACTCCAAGCTCACTACTCTACGTGAGCTCTTTCTATGAGGAGTACCTTTCAGTCATCCTGGCCAAAAATGGTGAATATCCTTTGTTGGAAAAAGGAAAAGAATGACAGTCTGAATTAGAAAAATGGGAGGAACCTATTTCTATGGTCATAATTTAGGTCCGAGTCTTCACTTTTCTTATGTCTGACTTAAATCTTTTCACTTGGTAAAAATTTTGGGAAGTGACTTATTATCAATGCATTGGGTCTTGACTTTTCAAAGTAGTAAAATTGTACTCAGAGTTTGGCACTGGAGCATCAATTAAGTTATCACAATTCCAGAACAGACAGTGATTGGAATGACAGCATGCAAATCAGTGCTAAACAGATTTAAAGGGGTATTAAATAATGGTAAAAGTTGTTTAGAATCTTTGTGGAGAGTTTTCTGAAAGACCATTTTAATTTGCATAAAAGTATATATTTACAATACATAATAATCACATTCACCTTAGAAAATTGGTACATATACATATTGCATCTTCTTCATTGTCATTTACCCTTTTAATTTAAACTGTCATTTATTTTTCTCTTTAGGAAGCTTGCAGATTAGGTACAAGCTAGACAGCCACCAAGAGCCAGATGCTTTTAACTTTGATTTTAAAAACATGGCAGATGGGCACCTTCACCAGCTGAAGATCAACAGAAAAGAAGCAGTGGTCTCTGTAGAGGTAACACAGCAAACACAAGCACAAAAAGAAGAGTCAAAGTAACGAGTTTAAGAAGGCTGAGAAGAAGTACCATAGTGTAAAAATCTGGTACCAAGAGAGCGACCTATTCAGTACTGCTCTCTAAGGTCAAGGATGGGGTTTGGGTTATGGGGCTGTTGGTGTTACTTTGTTTTGCTTGTTTAGCAGTGATTCTGTCTAAGTTATGATTATTTGCCGATCTTTTAAAATGTGAACATGTCTTTTTGCTTTACTTTATTCAGTAGAAAAATGGTATGTAATTCATCATGGTGACTACTGGCGGCATTTTTAAATTGTCATTTTAGTGGGAATCTATCCGCATGTGATTACAAAAGACCAGGTACTATAGCAGTTGAATCACAAGGTTAAAAAGTGTCCGAGACACTCCTTGTCAAAGGAATAAATAAGGAAATAGACTTGAGTTAGTAAAGGGTAAATAAGTTATCTTTTGCATTTGAAGGAAATAGATGCTAAATCTGTACATAAAACCATATTTGGGTTTTATGTGTCAAGTCTCCTCTGGAGAAAAAGATTTAAGTTGGAATAAACCACTTCCATCGTTTGGTGGATTCTGCCAATTACAGCTCTGCATGGAGCCCAGTAAAGCAGGGGAAAGGAATAGGTACCGGGGTGTGAGGGCTGATGCTCAGAAGATTGCTTTTCCCTTCTAAATGCTGTTTGAAGATATTTCTTTAGAGCTTTCTTATAGCACTGGTAACTGATGATTTATGCTTACCATTTCTTCTTAGCTTCCCTCTGCTTTCTTATCATTAAAACTGTGCTCCTTTCCACATTCACTTCCCATGCCACATTTTACAGGTTAACCAGAGTGCCAAGAGAGAAGTCATCCTGTCATCAGGGACAGAATTCAACGCTGTCAAATCCCTGGTGTTGGGAAAGGTTTTAGGTAAGTGGAAGAAAGGATTTTTCCCCCAAAGCTGTTGGATCACAAGTGTCATGTCACAAATGCTGGAAGTATTCATTATGCTGGAGGAAGCTCCTCATCTTATTTTAATAGTAATTTTACAGTGAGTGACAATCAAGGTACAAATTATACTCTTGGTAGAGTGTAGATATAATCATGTGTAAGTGCTCCCTGGAAGATGCTTGGTGCTTGCCTTCCCACCCGGCAGTCATGTACTTGAGTCATGGTGTTTTTCTAACGCCAAAGCAGACACGAAGTTTCAGCACAACCCCAGAAACGTCCTATTCATGATAAAACTACCTTTGAGCTGAAGACAAGAAATGTTCAATTCCTTCAACATATGGATGCGGCTGGAACTCTGCCCCAAGTCCTGCATGGCCTGATGTTTCTATCGCTGATGAGTCTAGGGAGATGACAGCATGTTTACAAATATCCATTATGCAGGCAGAAATGTTCAGCAGTTGTCCATGATATTAATGGGGGAGCATCTCTAAAAGCTCAGCTCAGCTTTTAACTTAATGTCATAGTAAAAAGTAAACAACTATCCTGTAAGGAAATATACCCATCTTATGTTAATCAGTGAAGATGATGAATTTTATATATAAACTACAAAGAGGATCAAAAATTAGAATAATATGCATTATATAAGTATATATATAAATATAGGTATTTGAAGATGTTAATGTTTTTATTTGAGAAACATATACTGAAAGGCATGTAATTTAAACTATAAAAATTTATGTTCAAACTGAGCAATAAACGGACCTCAAAATATTATAAATACTCATTTTGCATATGCCTGGAGATAGAAATAATCATGAAACATTAATTTTAAAAGCTTCATATTTTAGACAACTACATTTTAGAATGGCTTCTGCAATAAGCCTTTTTACTACTTTCAGATTATGTAATAATTACATCAAAATTACAATTTAAATTCAAATTAGGAATTGCATAAAGTGTTTTTATTCCTTTAACTTGTAGTAAGATAGGCCAACAAATTGACTAGTAGAAAAGCTACTAATTTTCCAAAGAAAGTCACTCAAAGCTTCAGTGGTAAGTGATCAGTATTGATTCTCATAGTCCCCGTGATTCACTGAAAAAGATTTGGGGAACATTCATTGAGTACATGGCATCTTCCTCAGCTGTTATGTGACTAATGGCCAAGTATACCAGAGTTGGCAATGGAATTCACTTCTTTCTGATTTTCCTTCTTTAAAATGAAGTATATCTGGTGATCATTTTCTACGTCAGTTGTTTATTGAAGATGTAGGAGAGCTCTATTCCTACCATATCCAAATTAAATGATTGTTTAATATTACTGTTCAGCATTTGTAAGAGAAAAACTCCCCTAAAATTTTACAACTCTTCTTTAAAATATGATTACTTAATTGAAAATCATCTGTAGCACAGCGAACAAAAATATTCTGACTACACAATAGTAAGGAAGAATTTATTCAGGAGTATCACAGTACGCAGAGGAAGTACCAGAATGGAGTTTTACAGGAGATGAGAGTTATTGGACTCGACTTAAATACAAGAAAGAAAAGTGGATATTTATATCAAAGACATGGTAGGGAATGGTTAGGGATGGAAGATAAATAAGAGGTTAGGGGTATTCTTACTAAATAGACCACCCAGAATTCTTGGGGAAGAGAGGCCAGGCTGATTAGACCTTATCTAAAGGGTAGAAAGGCATAAGCAGAATGACTACAGCCAGGTATGGTGCTCTGGGAGGCTGAGGCAGGAAAAGCTCAAGTTTGAGTTTTCAAAAATAGTTTAAAGGGGTTGGGAAAGTGGTTCAGTATGAAGACCTGGTCTAGTACACACACACACACACACACACACACACACACATGACTAGATATTCAGAGGACAGGAGTCTTATTAACTCAGACTTTACAAGGTTGTTGCTATGTCCAATGCAAACCCTAAAGGCTAAGGTTAGTTGAAAAGAGGGCTCAGAGAATTGTAACTGAAGTTTGGTTAAAGGGGAGCTACATTTGGTCTGACTAAAGTTGGCCAATGGTATCAAAGGTCTTAGATAAACAATTAACATATACAGATTCTTGAAACAGAGGAAACACAATAGAAAAATACCTAAATGTACAATGAAATGGTAACTCTGGTCAGGAACTAAATGTACTTGAGTTAAACCAACAGATGGAGAAGGAAAGGGTGGACAGCTGAGAGAAGAAAGAAAGAAACCATTTCCCAGGCTTGGGACATGGTTGCAGACAGGCTTGCTGGGAGAGAGTTCCCTCTTTTTATACAGTGGTGTAACAAAAACCTCTTGGTGGAGGGTGCTTGGGAAGCTGAATGCTCAAACCCCCAAAATGGTAAAGAAAAGGTAAGAAAATTAAGCCAACAGATGGGAAAAAACTAAAGAGAAAAAATGAAACCAGCACGTTAGTGTAAAGATCAGAGGAATAAAATCAGATGTAGGGGTTGTTACTCTAAATGTGAATGGACTAAATTCTGTGAAGCTGGCTTTAAAAAAAGGTCAATGTTGTTTTGCTTATTTGTGTGATTGCATTCTGATTCTTCTGTATTTTTCCTCTTTAAAATAAAAAATGATTAAATGCACTAACAATATTGAAAAAGAGTGGGTAGACCAAGAATGTGCAGGCAACTGCCACTCAATTTAAGAAATACAATGTTACTATCAAGCAAGGAAGAGTTCAAGCTGAGAAAAATTGCCAGGACAAAGGGGAATTATGTGGCCATAAAAACCGTTATTTGTTAAGGAAATATGAAGTATAGTGAGTCTGGTTGTATCATGAAAAAGTAGCAGTTTAATACAATAAGCAAAATCAACTAGAATTTCTAGAGCTATGTCCTTATGGCTAGGAGTCACCGTTCACATGTCCCTGGATTATTGGGTGTGAGCCTCTTGCACAGTTTTTTCTTTCTCTTTCTCTCTCTCTCTCTCAAAAAATATATATGTAGAAATATATAAATATATTTCCTATAGTTTTTAATAATGTGTCTTCAAGAAAACAATGCATGTGGACAGATTTAGGTCATGCCCCACGCAGCTCTGCTACAAACCGCGCAGCCCCGCGCCCCGGAAACCCCCACACCTAGCAGCGCGGGCAGCGCCTGCAGACACGGTGATGGTGCCCGGCCGGCCCCTGTCTCAGCCCTAACCCGTGTCGCCGCCTCCTGTCCGCAGGGCCTCCCGGCGCAGACCCGGACACGCGGCGGGCGGCGGCGCGCGGCTTCACCGGCTGCCTCTCGGCTGTGCGCTTCGGCTCCGCGGCTCCCCTGAAGGCGGCGCTCGGCGCGGGGTCCCCGGCCCGGGTCACCGTCCGCGGCCGGGTGGCCGCCGGGTCCCGCTGCGCGGCGGGGCCTGGGCCCGGACAGGGGGCGCGGGCGCTGGCGCCCCAGGTTGCCGGCGGCGCAGGTGAGCGTCCCTCCTCCGCACCCCGTCCTCTCCCGCCAAGGACCGGGACGACGCCCGGTGCCCTTGTCCGCTCCTCTCCGTTCTCGTTCCTCCCCGTAGGTGGTGCAGTCCCAGCAGAGGCGGGCGAGCCCTTCCTTCCGGCGCGCAGCGACTCGGGGGTCATCGGAGGTAACAGCGCGCCCCCGCCGCCTCCCCGGGACGCGCGGAGAACCAGCGCGCAGCGAGCAGGCCGCTCCTGCCCAGCGGCCCCGGGCTTCCTAATTTCTGCTTCCTTAGAGCTAAACAATTCCTGCAACCTATTTTCCAATGAAAAGTTCTTAATTTGGAAATACTTCCCAAGACATATGAGATGTTTGTAAAAGTCCTGAGGGGCACTTTGAGTAGAGCGGCAAGACATTCCCTTCCAAACAGTGCAAAATCGAAATGGTAGCTGGCGTAACTGAAATGCTTCCCTGGACAGTATTTCGCTTTTAAAAAGTTAAATACACATGTCGTGGTTTAAAGAGCATCGTCTTCACTGCACAGTTCAGTGACACTGTGTGCATTCACAGTTTGTACAGCAACAGCCCAGTACATATATTCCACTTTTTCAGTGTGCTTGAGAAAGAATTAATCTGATAGGCTAAGTGTTTCTTGGTTATTTTAAATTGGAGGAAAGGAAAATTAAATGCAATTCAAATATATTTTTTGGTGATGAAAAGAATGTGTCCCCCCGAAATTAATTTACCCAATGTTGGTGTAAAAAATTAGCGTTCACTTTTCCTCATTAATTAATGAATTATTGAAATATTTAGTTTATAGTTCTTTAAATTCTCTAATTGCACATACAAAAGTAAAGTTTTGCCTCCAAAAAGATAGAAACAATACAAACACTGTAAAGCCCTAAATAATTTTTTAGTATACTAAAGTTTTTATCACTATCTCGATTATTTTTTCTTTAAAGTCAGTGAAGGATAATAAAAATACATAACCCAATGAATATTTTAAAGCTTTCTGTAGGAATATGGTCAATAATGCTTATCTAAAAGGAATAGTGTCCTGTTAGATTTTAAAACACATCTAAACCTCAATAAATCCTGGAGAAGATGTTTCACTGCAATACAGAAGCAGTTTCAGAACAGGTCCCCACGTTATCTGGGTGTCTGCAGAGTTATCAACTGATCTTCCAAGAGCAGGAGCAGGGACAAGTTGATAACAGAACAAAAGATCTTATCTTTGAAATATTATTGCTTTGCAGCAAATGTCACTGGCAAGACTTCCTGAGTAAGTGCAGGGTTATATTGCTGAGCAGAGAAGTTCGGGCTGTCTCCTAACTGCTCCTAAAGGAACATCGAGTCCTGAAGGAGGGAAGGGAAGAGGGCATGTGTGGAAGGAAGGTTCCCCTGAACCTGCTCGAAGGCAGTTTTCATTTTCCAGTGCTCAACAGCTGAACAAAAGTTAACAGCTTTATAAATTATCCTAAATGTATTATATGGACCGGGAAACTTACCTTTCTGCATATCCATTTAGTTGTACCCCAGACCGGACATTCATTGTCCATCCACCTGATTTTTTTTTTTTTTTTAAATATGTGTTTATTTATTATTTTTTGTTTTTTTCTTTTTTTATCGGTACCGGGGATCGAACTCACGATTGCCTGCTTGCAAGGCAGGCACTTATGCCGCTGAGCTAAATCTCCAGTCCCCACCTGATTGTTTTAACAAACAGCTTTTTGTGGGAGCTTTAGCAACCTGGATAAATTAAAGCCTCCATTTAGAAGACCCTAGCGCCCAGGGTTCTTTTTTTCAGTTATCCTGGTTTATTGATTTCATGTGCAGCTGAGTTTGCAAATCACTGATGTAGGTACTGGTACCTATATTTTACGTTACAACCTGGGTCTTTCAAGTAATCCACACTCCTCATCCATAAATTTAATAAATATCCCTCCAATATATTTGGCAACAAAAACCGATTGCATATGTGTTACACTATTGCATTTCAAAAGAATATCATTGAAAGAGAATTTTACATCTGAGGATGTAGCTCAGTGGTAGAATCTTTACCTAGTACATGAAAGGCCCTGAGTTCCAGACCCAGCAACTGCATAAAAAGAAAATATTTTAAAGTAAATTCAACAAGATGTATCCAATTTTTTCCAAAATTAACATTAACTGTACGATGGTGCTAACTAAATACACTATACCTTTAAAATACTTTAAAATTTCTCACCTGTTAAGTGGAGGATGCATGTGGTCTTAGAGACTTGCATGTGTTTGTGTTTTAAATCTGAAAGCATTTGTTGAAATCCAATTACACCTTCCGGGAAAATGCCTGCCACAACTACATCCAAAGATTGTAGTAACTCAAAAGTATAACAAATATTATAAATCCACATAGCCTTAAAATTCGTGAGTTTTAATGGTTCCAACTTATGACACAGTAGTGGGTGGTTGGTTTACTTTAATGTAACTTATTAAGCAGTGATGTGCTTAATAAGCCTCTAGCTGGGGTGAGAGTCACCATTTGCGTTCTGACTTTGTGTTTTTGTGTTCTCTTCCCTCCCTAGGTGTGATAGCAGTCGTGATATTTATTCTGCTCTGCGTCGTTGCTATAGGCTTACACGCTTATCAACAGAGAAAATTACCCCAAAAAAGTGAGTCGAAAGTCTCAGCAAATGAAGAGTGCTAGAACTGCTCTGGAAGATGAGCTCAGTATCAAAACACGGTGGAAGTCAGAAAGACTTTGCCTTCTGATCGGCAGCTGTGACGACCCACCCTGAGACTGTTTGCCAGTACTGTTCCCGCCATCAGGGGAGGTGGCAGTGCCATCAGCTTGCTGAAGACCTGTGGTCTCGGAAAGTTCCAGAGGCCCCGCTTGCCTCTGTGAGACAAGCCCTCCAGTGCTTATCAACAAACTAAGGAGGGCCATGAATCACCGTTGATCAGGCCCCACAGTTTGAATGCTCTCTTCCAAAGCCGAGGTTTAATTTGTGTATTATGGTTTTTCACTGAGAAAAATGGCCAGGTATCTCTGATCTTACTTACTGATAAATGGAACAGAACTTTGGTCCAGGTTTAAAGACAAAGTTCAGTTCTAATGCTTTTTTGTTATTTGGAAACGTATCTGAGGTCCTTTTATGGTTCCCCTGGTGATATTTATAAAACAGGAAATGCTTCTTAGATCAGTATCAGTGTCATTTCCATTGTTTGCAGCACCAAGTGACACACCAAAAATTAACAGCAGTCCTACTTTCCCTATCTGATGATCAATACAATGCAATAGAGGTTTTGGATATGTTGTTATTTTTGGTATATTGCTTTTTCTAATCGACTTTTTAATCATTTTTGATAAATTTTAATGTTGAAATGATTATCAAATGTAAAAGTATGAAATTTTAATATTGAATTTTGTAATGGGACAGAGAGTTGATGGATATCAGGCTGCATAAAGGATGTCAAGGAAATCTGCTTATTTTTCTTTGTAATTTGTAATTACTATAATTTTTGTGAATTGTGACTATGTTTTTAACTAAATTAACCAGACATAAATGCCACTTCTCTGAGTTATCCTTTATTGATACCATTATCTTACTGAAACATTAATTTACTCCTCTAATATTGTATTATTATGTTAGTTTTTCCTTTTAAGCTTTATTTCTCTAAAGGTTTTCCCAATGCCTGTGGGTTCCTATGAATATATTGCACAGAGTATCTTTTCAGTTTCTGAGGAAAATTAGCTGCAATTCCTTTTCTAAATTTTGAATTGTTCTAGGCATTAATACCATTGTATAGTATAATCTTGTCTAACTGCTTTTGAAATATAGACTGAGGCTACTCACTCCAAGGAAGCACAGCATTATGTTAAATCTATACTATGGGAAGTCTGCTACTACACACAGGTTTATGAGCATGGGGTTAAATTCTTATAGATTTGCCAAATTGAATAGACCCTGTAAAGGCTTACACAAATACCAAAATAGCAGATGATTGGAATTAACTTTATTGTGTTAGTTCCAGGAACTAACATTGAGGCAGTTTAGTTGATAATTGCGTTGAACCACCATTCAGCTTCCATAAACTAATTATATAAAAAATGATGCTATTTTCCATAACCCAGAATCTAACTGCTTCCCAAGGACTAACCAGATCATTTTTTCACATCAAGGCAGGTTGGAACTATACCAGCCTAGTATTACTACTACAGAACTGAATTTTCATCTTCTTAGTTGTGTTGTTTTTGAAAGACTGAGTATTGACACTCTCTGTCTTATGTCTACTCCAAGCAAACAATATCTTCTCAAAACACTTTACCCTACTGATGTGTCAGTGAAAGCTGAAGGATTATTTTGACTATATTATCAGGGACTTGGTATAGATCCTCAATTTCCCAAGTGAGTGTATGGTGAAGGATTAAATAAATGAGAGAAGTGGTATGATGTTAGGGCTCCAGGAAGATCAAAACCCTCTGCAGAGTTTGGAAACTCTGTTGACTAAGACAGGGGATGTCTCTGGGTAGCCTGTATTTATATAGGCGGTTTCAGTGGAAATGCAGGAAACTGAACAGACCGTCGGAGTGGTTCAAGGACTTTGCCAAGTAACAAATTGCATTAATTTAGGAGAAGTCTCTTAGGAGATCTCCATGCTGCATTTCACTACAAGACTGAAATGCCTGCAGCTACAGATTTTATTTAGGTATTTGGAGCTGGAGCCAGGTGTCCACAGCTGTTATCTTAGCTTGCCCTGGCCATGCAGCAGCCCTGCACATGTGTTCAATTTCCAGTTTCAATGGCTCCCAACACTGTATTATTCTCTTAATTCAGTAATGTTTGTGGGACAGATTTTAATGATTTTTTTATTTTGCTTTTTCTCAAAGATTTATGCAGGTTTGCAAAGAATTCAACAAAGATGTAGTGCATTTTGTTAGTCAATGTATACACACCATTTAGCCTCTGACACTTTTACAGATGTTTACTTTATTGCACATGAGATTTTGGTAGCTAGAGTTTTGTAGACTATAGAGAATGTAGCATCATAGCCCACGATTCTCTGCTCTTCCAGAAAGCAAAATGAAGCATCATGCTGCACTGATACTGGTCTGCCATCAATCTTCTCTACTGGTTTATAAACTTTAGTTTTTATTTGAAAATAGATTAATTTTTGGTGAAAATGCAATTATTTTAGGGGAAATTATGTAAAATTTAAATTACAAAAAATATGCTTTCTTGCTAATTTATATAGAATGTGCAGATAAGTCTATTCTGAACTGGTTTGTACATTACACTTGTATATTTTGTGATTGTTAAGATCTGTTTACCTTTTATGATGGGGAATTTATAATGAAGTCAATTATTCCTTTTAATTATTAAATAAAAATGAAAAAACAAGGGATGGGGATATAGCTCAGTGGCCCTGTGCCTGACTGGTAAACATGAGATACTGAGTTAAATTTCTGGTACAAAAAAACAGATAAAAGGTAAATGTTTACTTAGTGCTAGAAGTAAAACTTTGCGTGAATGTATATAGCTAAATTTTGTGAGGGGGAAATCATTTAACCATCAGATGCTGTTGTTTGCACAGCATGGAGAGAACTGGAAAACATTATACTGAGTGAAAGAAGCCACACACCAGAAGCCAGTTCTGCATGCTCTCAATTATAGGTGGAGTCTAAAACAATTGCTCTCGCAGAAATGGAGAACAGAATAGTGATTACCAAAGACTGGAGGAGGGAGGAATGGATAGATAGTAATAAAGTACAGAACCTCACTTAGCGATGAAGAATAAGCTTGATTTCTTTACTTTTGTTTATTTACTTATTTTTCAGATCTTAGTGTGGTAACTACCAGTTATAACAGCACTGTTTTCTTGTGGCTGAGAGAATGGATTTCAAATGCTCATATCACAAGAATGTCAGATACTTTATGTGATGGGTATGCTGATAGGTTTGGTTTGGCGTATTTTACATCAAAATGTAATTAGTTGTTTATTTAACCTATCTCATTGGTCAACTTTGGATAAGTTGGGCATTTCTTAAGTGTTGCTTTAGCAATTAAATTTAAAGAGAAGATATCAACTTTTTGTTATAAAATATCTTATTCCAAGAGTCACAAGGTTTTTCTGCTGATAAAGCATCAAATAACACACAGTTGAAACTTTTCTCCTCCTCACATGGCTCTTAATGGATGTAGCTCAGCTGTGCTCCTTTATGATGTGTTATTATAATGGTCATTAATAGTATTTAAATTAGTGTGCTTGAGGGCAAATGCAGATGATATTTAATCAAGACACTTAAAGCTGCTATTATGAAGTCTAGGGTTTATCATGCCTCAATTATAGTGTTAGGGAAATATGGTGAAGAAATACTTTCTGTATTCTTTTACTGATAACATTTTATTGCCCATAAATACATCATGACCTAAAATTATAGTTTTACATTTTATGTTACTTTATTTTATTAAATGTGAGTATATTAATCAGCTTCCCATTGCTGGATAAAATATAAAGTAAATACAAAAGCAAAGTACTTTGGACAACTCCAAAGTAAAGGATAAGAAGTTTATTTGGTTCATGCTTTCCAAGGGTTCAGTCCATGGTCAGGAGTGGCAAAAGGAAGAAACATCATGGTGGAAGGGTGTGACAAAGTAGAGCTGGCTAGATCATGGAAGACAGGAAGCAAAACAAGGAAGCACTACCAGAGAGGAGGGGACCAGGGACCAGACATAAAACCCAGGACCACACCTCTGTGACTCACCTGGACATACTCAGAAGTATGGGTAACTCCCAAGCCAATCAAGCTGATGATTAAACTTAAACATAAGATACCATTTGTTCTGTGAATGCAAAGGTGCACATTTAACATTTTTGAAGTATGCAAATTTATAACTTAGCTTGTATTACTAATATTTAAGGAAGGTCTTAAAACCATCTGTAGTGGTGCATGCTTGTAATACCAGCACTTTGGAGGCTGAGGCACGAGCATTGTCATGAGTTCTAGGCCAGCCCAGGCTACAAACTGAGTTCAAGGCCAGCCTGAACTGCATAGTGAAACCCTATCTCAAAAAAATACAAAAAAGGTCTTAAGATAATAGTATATGATTATGTAAAATTATACCACTGGTACCACATTTTAATCCTTTAAACAGCTGATAAGGTAAGACACTCAGTTATTTCCATTTTTTGCAAGCCACACTAAGGATTTGCTTGCTTGGCTAAAATGTTACAAAGTAATTTTAAACAAAATAGACTGGAATACAAATCTTAATATTTCTAGGCTCTAATTCTACTACTGGTTGCCTGCAGTGAGTGAACATAACTAACAGCTAAATTTTCCCTTCCTTACAAATCTATAAGAAATGATTCATGTATGGTGCGTGTGTGTGTGTGTGTGTGTGTGTAATCTTCAATTCTGGTCAAGATGAGATGGTAGCGTATTTGTTCTTCTGTAAAATAACCTCAAACCAGAGAAAATATAGAGTATAATTGGACCCAAGCTTTTGAAAGTGATCTTTGAAATATGGGAAACAGATGAGGTAGATGTGTGGTATTGTCATTCCCACTGTTAGCTTCAGAGAGGTTTTAGACAACAGTTCAAGGTCTGGGATAACTAGGGACAGGCTAGCAGATCTCAGAGCTGAGTAGCTAGATGCTGCTGAGAGTTTGTTGCGGGGAAAGGGCCAGAGAAGAAAAGGCCACACATGGAGCAAGCTTGAGGGACCCTAACAGCCTCCCTTTACTACCCAGCAAAGCGCTGGATACTACATGGGTCTGATGAAACAGCTGAATTCATTCAACTAGAGTAGCCCTTATCAGCCTTTAAAAATATTACCGACCACCCGATGGAGTTTTTAAGATGTTTTCTTTCCCACTTGCCCCTTTATGTCACTAGAATACTGCAAACTCTCCTCATTTCCTTGGTTCGGTGTCTATGTTTTAATCATGAGTCTATTCATTCTTTCCTTCCATGAACTAATTTTGCCCATTGGGATTGGATTCCCTGGGTGAGAAGTCAGGGCCTAGAAGGACAAGGGATTAGAAAGTCCCAGAGCCCCTAATACTTCACAGGGACCTGGGTAGAGCACTCACAGGGATCTTGCCTCAGCAGTGGGAAGTCTTCTTACATTACACACTGGTACAGATTTTTGATAATTACAGTTTTGAAAATGTAAAACACCTTTTTTCTTACCTTTTAGGCAGTTGATAGATATAGAGATAGAAATAAAGATAGAGAGATGCAGATAGAGATAGAGACAAATTGAACACACAGAAAAAAAGGAAAATATTTGTCAAAATGGGTACTGTCATATTTTATGTAGGACACATTATACCATATTATAAAAATATTAACAAATAGAACTATGTGGCCTGCAGAATACACAATAAATACCCTGAACCAGCTCTTCAGATCGAGTGTGCTTCAGATTTCTTTTGCTTTGCTTGTATCCATGCAGCTTCTGCACTTAACATGTGTTCCAGTCAGTTTTCCACTGCTGGGATAAAATACCTGATAGCTCGTGGAGTTTGAAGTTATTGCGGAGATGAGCTGCTTACCTCATGGCCTGGGCACGCGCCAGCATGCACCGGACCTAAGCCTCATTTTGGGGGGGAAATTTTTATAAATGGGGCACACAGAGTCCCTAAAATATAACTGATGGTTTAAGTTCCTTTTTGTTTATGCATGGTTATTTTAAAGAAAAACTGAGATAGGTAATTTAATCATTCATAATTTCAATGAAAAGTAAAAGTTGTTTTAAATTTCTGTACCATCAGAGCAAACTGTTCCGTTTCACGGTCTTTAGTTAGGTTTCTCTTTGACTTCAAATTTCACTCATTATGATGGTCTCCTTGAAGTTAGGGGCTGGATTTTACTTTCCATAAATCATGAATCCTGGAGTGGAAGGTTACATGCAGGGGACATTCAGTTAGTGAAAAAGGTGTGCAGTAAAGAAGTAGCATAGTCTCAGATTTTGTAAGATAGCTAAAA